ACATTTATTTTACTCCCTGGCCAAGTTCAATCGACAAGTTGGCATGCCCAGCATTCAACCGAATGACATAGTTAGCTTATTAATTACATGTAGGCTAAGTAGTTTTTAAGGTCAACATATACACATGTAAGCTGAATGTCATGTACATAGATAAGTTAAATATATTGATCATATACGTGTAAGCTGAATGACATGTCTATAGACAAGCTGAGTATGTATCTCATACACTATAAGGTCTGATAATCTGTTTTTCTCATAAACATAATTGAAATCATATTTATCCAGTCGTGCCTAATATTTGATAAAGAAAACATTTCTAAAATAAACGTCCTTTCACACTTCTGGCTAACTCTCCCTTGAGGAATCTTGTCTTTGTCAATCTGGTACAATCTATAACTAGATCTAATCCTAATAATGTCATATCCTAGACTGCGATACATGATACACTATTTACTTTTATTTAATCTTATCGTTGAATCTAACTTTCAAGTTAGATTGCCTACACACCTTGTGAATAGATCAAGCCAATTGTAGTTCATCCTTCATATGAGAAATTCATATGTTACATAAACATTTGGATATCCGTACTTAATAGAAAATAATGTCTCACCTAACACAACATAAAGTGATCATGGATAGATTTTGCCTACTAAACTCTATCAAGCCTTTAGTGATGCAAACTTCAAAATTCGAGAATGTGTTCAAGACCTGTTGGCCACAAGTCAACCACCCTAATTATAGTCATTCCAGAGGATCCACACATGGGATTTCTGATTCATAAGTTTCTAAGACCAACATATTATTTTCACAATAACGTATTACAATTTCATAACAATCCAACAGTCGAATCTCCGCCTACTACAAAGGTCAAGTGATGGTCAATTATGGAATTGTGTCCAAACAATCGAATTTGGAGAAACAAAGTGTGGAGTGGTCCGGTTACGGGTGTGGTTAACCATTTATAAACACTTATGGGTATAGATATACCCATTTATACAATTACCTAAGGGGTATATAGTTATACAGGTAAGAGCTTAAACGGTTATGGGCAAATAACCATAATTTACCAATTCACAATAAGCCCATCCCTAGATACCATATGAGCAATTCAGCTTTTATACCAATTTTTTATTACTGAAATAACCACATTAATCAACACTTAAATAATAATTTAATCATCAATAACCGCATTATATAATTTATAAAATTTAGTTTAAAAAATTGATCTATCAAACGTTGCCCCTTAACTTAATGTTACTGCATGTATGTTGCAAGAAGTAAAACCTATAATAGGTTGATCACTACTAAAATATGAAATCGGATCCCCTCTGGATCCAAATGAACTGAGCCCAATGATCAAATGAACCGGGCCATTGAAATTTGATACAATGGTTACAAACAGGGGACCCTTCTAAAAGTTATAATAATTGTAGCCGTTGGATCAAATTCTAATGACCCGGATCATTTGATCCTTGGGCTCAGTTCCTTTAGATCTGGAAGAAATCCGGTTCCCTAAAATATATAGGTCTAATAATGCATTTATCATATGACTGCGAAGTAAATCATCCTAAAGTTGTTGACCGATGAATAGAAAATTTTCATTATAGAATAAAAATAAAAAAATTAATAAATGATAGAGTCATATGAATCTTGTTGGATTGACTTTTGTACTTGTTGGGCAACTATTTTGCAACATCTGATTTGACTAATCATCAAAGAGTAAATTATTTTCAAATCCACTAATAAATCATCACTTTCAATGTGGTAAGGCCATCTCCAACCGAAGGCTGGCCAAATGGGTTATTTTAGTCCTTTGGTCCTCTAAGATATTAATATTTTAATGAACAGTATAGGACTATATTTGCATCCATCTCCAACCGAGGGCTAAAGGGCCATAAGGCTCATTTTAACCCTGTCACAAAATACCGTCTCCAACCGAGGGCTAAAAGGTCATAGGGCCAAATATAATTTATTATTTAAATTTAAGAACTATAACAACTTAAATTCAAATCCAACAACAACTTAAATTTAAAAACTACAACGGTAACTGGCCCAAAAAACCAAAAAATTTAAACTTAAATTTAATGAATGGTTTAGGTATTTATAGGAAAAAAAATTAGAATTTTTAAGAATTAAAAAAAAAAAAAAAATTGGCCCAAAAAACCAAAAAAATAAATAAAAAAATTTGAATACAACGGCTAGTTAGCTAGCCGTTGGATTCAAATTTTTGTTTAAGCTAACCGACAGGAATGTATTTATATTAAATATAAAAGCATTCCTACTAGTTATATCCAACAGGATTTTTTGAATTTCTGGCCAGCCCCGGGCTGGCCCTTTAGCCCTTTCAGATTCTGTGGAGCCCACAAGCCCTCTGGCCTAGCCCTCGGTTGGAGACGGTTTTCGGGTTATTTTCGACCTTTTGGCCTTCTAGACTCTTCGGTTGGATATGGCCTAAGTTGCAATGGCTGCACATACAAATTAGGCAGCTTTTGGGGGTGTCCCTACTCCCTACTCTCGTCGAGTAAAGCTATTTCTTCTTTCGGCTTTTTTTTCTTCTTTTTTAAAGTTTTGTACTTGTGTCCTCCAGAATAGCATTTTCTCCGGATTCTTTTTGTGTGTATCCTAAAGATCAATCAATTGTATTTGGTCATCGTACATCGTGCGATTAAAAATTATTTTAAATTTTTTATTTAAAATTGAATATAAATAGTATTTAACAAAAACTGACCGCATATTGTACGATAAACGGACACGATTGATTGATTCTCGAATTCCCACAAAAAAATTTTGAAAAAAATCCTAGTCCGTGTCCTTCCACGTTCTCTTGTTCTTTTCGCACTCCACTTTTTCTCACTCAATCTATCTGTACTACTAGACTAGACCTCCCCATTCTATGCTATTGCGTCAGTGTGTGTGATAGTTCAAACAGCATATGTTTTTTTGGTATGCATTATAATACACACGAAATATTTGATCATTTGATCCTAGACCGCATAGATAACTCTTCGTTCATCCAATACATGCAATTCTCAAAGCACAACAGAAATTTGGCAAATAACAGACTAAGAGCATCTTCAAGAGAGTCCGCTATATTAAATTTGAAGTGTTACATAAGATTTTTTGTGCTCTAAAAAAGTTGTTACATGATTCTTCAAAATTAGAAATATGCTACACTCTAAATTTAGACCCTCTATCCCATCCCATTCTTCAAACATTCTTTTTATTAAAATAATCTTTGTCAACTTTTTTTTTTTCAAAAATAAAATACTAAAACAAAAGTCCACATGATGAAAAGAATTAAAAAGTACTAAAATATGTAATGTGTTGGAGAATAATTGGAAATCAACAAATTTTAGTTTTCAAATTGCTATGCAAGTCAACGAATTTGTATTCGAAGAGTCACATTAAGAAAAATTGTTGGAAATGCTCTAACTGGATTTAAATTCCTACTACAACACTCTACGGTCTAGATTCTTTCTTTATTTGTTAATAGAACATCTCACCTTCGGAGAACAGTAGTGATCTCAACTAGCTATTGTTCTAGTGGTACTTCCTTCCAATGACGGAAGAGGTTTGAATTTGAATCCTTTTTTCCCCATTGACCAAAAAGAGAGGCGGAAAAAAACCATTACAAGAATGCGGAATTCAATATGTAGGAGTCATGCTCATAAACTCTGTACAAGTCAATCAACATTAAGATGAAATACTACTGGAATTTACTTTCAAATTTTGTCAATGTATGAAACAGAAGTCGAATTTGGACACAAACAGAAAACCAAACGTACCAAACCCAAGAGTGATGGTTTGAGGCATGGACCTAGGTAGCTTCAAAAGTGTCTAAAACTTGGCTGACATTTGATACCCCAAAACCCAAAATATAAACAACTAGCAACTTTAATTAATAACGAGGCTTAGTTTTAGCTGGGCCGCCTAGAATTCAATTGTCTGTCTAGAACGAAGAATCGGTTTGCTGATGCATCGGCCACACTACCTTCCATGATCAGTAGATGGTATTGATATCCAACCAATAAGTGGCTGAACCGGAGTGAAGTCAAGGTGAAAAAGAGTCATGCGAGGACTAATCAAGCAAAATAGTAGTCATATGAGGAAAAAAAAATCGCCAACGCTTCTAATGTCCGCAAGAACTAAGTAGGGGGGCGGAACAAAACTAGAGGACTCTATGAGACTCCATTCCCTGAAACTTAAAATCCGTTCCCCTTAACCATGTTTTCGTTTCCACTGAAATTCGATTTTAATCTCACTTTGTCCCCTAAAACTTAAAAGTTATCATTTTACAAATCTCCACTAAGAAAATAATAACTTTAAAAGAAGAATTTAAAGATCGAAATTTTTTTGGGTTGTTGAGCTTGAATTGCAAAAATCTGCAAGAAAAAAAAAATGATTAACCTAGGGCGCCTAAATCAGACCCACATAATGAATTGCTCCAATTCCACCGGTAGTAAATCAACCTTCGAGCGAATGAGAGAGAGCCTAGATTGATGGTGATCAAGAGAGGAGGGAACTCTCACTGGCGAGATGGGGTCAGCAGTAGTAAGATAAATGACGCCAAGAAGTCGTTCTCATTTTGGGTTTTGGTTCTGCATTTTACTAATATTCCTCCTTTTCTTTTTCATATACATTTTCTAATCCACATCAGCATATTTGATGGCTTTTGAACAAAATTAACAGAACCATTGCAATGTCGAACGAATTTTGAATTTATTTGGGTAAAATGACGACTTCTAAATTTTCTAAATTTCAAGTATGATCAAAATCAAGTTCAGGGGCAAACTAGAATCAAAATGGAACGAATTTGATAGAAAATACGGAAAAATGATTAAGTAAAACGAATTTTGATTTTCAAAAAGTAAAGTGGACATAGGCCGTAGCTAAAATTAAACCTAATAACAAATTCAAAACTTCGAAGATAAACTATAATGTAATCATACAAAACCCAAGAAATCCATCCCAGTGCAAAGTGCCAAAAGAGAGCCTTCTCAAAAAGGAAAAACACAGATCATATATCGTATTTTAAAATGAGGTGCAGCATTCAACATTCACGCCAAAACCAGGCTCACGAAATTACACCAATACAATTTGATTACACCGTTACCCCTCCTAGTGCTTCAAGCTCACAGAAAAATAACAATTTAGGTATCGAACACAGATGCCCGATAAACCATTGATTGGCTACTAAATAAACTTTGAATTCGTCACTTTGAAAGCACATTCAAGTTTAAGCTCATGAATCCGAATACTAATAACAAGGAATAACCAAACTTTAGAATCTCAACTACAAATCAAAGATAAGATCAGCTAACCACTACAAAGAGGCTGCATATTCCTGCTGGTTCTCAGGAACGAGATCTTTCCCGGGGTGGGGGTGAACGGCTGAAATATCAACAATACAAATATAGTCAGAATGGTGCTAGTATGTGTAATACGTTCGCATATAAATACAACTTTGACAAATCATGCAAACCAAAATAAACCATGCTAAAAGAGATGAACTACGTCGGTGGCCTCTAGCATTTAAACTCCCACTTGACCATAATTTCATTAACACATTAGAACACCCCTACACCTCTGAAAAGATCAAAGATCATAAAATTGAGAAAAGTTGACTTCACAAACCTGCGGTATCCATCGTTGACGGGGCTTATAGCTCCCTCATCACTGGGACTTCTTGGTTCAGGTCTAGAACTTGGACGAGATCTATCATTGACTGGGCTTGCAGATCTCTCGTAATCCGGACTTCTTCTAGGATCAGGTCTAGAACTTGGACGAGATCTATCATTGACTGGGCTTGCAGCTCTCTCATAATCAGGACTTCTTCTTGATTCAGTTCTAGAACTTACGCGGGCACCATGGCCATAATCAGGGCTTCCCCTATCTCTGCGGTACGGACTTGGAGATCGCCCACGATCATTGCCTCTTCTCTCAGGAGACATATCACGGCCCCTCCTGTCAGGACTCTGCCCATTTCTTTTATCATCATCATCACGAGCAGCGTATTCCACAGAAATAACCCTATCCATGAACTTGCTGTACCTCAAAAAGAAGTTGATTAAAGTTAGTATAAAGCAAGTTGCAAATTTTTTATGGATTCAGACTAAGTAGTCTTTTGCAAACTAAAGCATTGAATATTTCTCTCTTCTTTTAACACCTTTTTATGACAATCCAAATCAGCATATTTAATTTTCCTTACAAGCAAGTACTATCGGCTTTTTGGAGTAAATAGTTTTTAAAGAACTGATGGCATGACTTGTCAGGGAAACAAAACTGAATTTCCTAGAAGTTGGAGCCATTCTCCCTTTGAATTCACTTCCAAACAATCACCAAAGGCAAAAGTCTTTGAACTTGTAAATCAAGCAACAGCACTATAGGAGTTGTCAATGAAAACAGAACCTTGTATTTGTTGCCTCCAAAGCTTTGGTAGCATCCTCCTGTGATTCATATTGAATGAAAGCAAAATTCCTTCTAATCCTTACGTTTGTAATTTTCCCGTAGGGATCAAAGTGCCTCTCCAGATCCTTTGTCCTGGTATGGACTGGATCAAAGTTGATAACAAACAAGGTTTTTGAGGGCTTTGTGTTAGCTGAAGGCCTTCTTGAATCAGGTCTCCTAATCCCTCTTTCATGCTTCAACACAGAATATTGTGAAACTAAATGAGTGAAAACTTCCAATAAAATAATTAGGCAAAGCTTGTCACTCATAGCTTATCCATTTGATCACATGTACAAGAAAATTATATAATTGAGAGAAGACAAAAGAAGCATGAAGCAGTTATCAATATATGTACCAGTTGCATGCATAAATTCAGAAAATGGAAGTTAGTAGAGGATATGATTTTGATCGACACAATCACAATATTAATAATATGAAAAGCAACAGCTTAAGTAAGAATTCACATGCTAGAAAGCAATGTCAAATTCAAGTATTATACTTGTATGTGTTAGGAATCGTACTATGCACAATGCCAACATGCTCGGCAAGTATGCAATGCAACTGACCATAACGTCATAAATCAATTTTTCAAAACCCGACCACACTGTCAACTTTACCTTGGTCCACTCAATACGAAGCCGGCGTCCCTTCCTACCAAATTCTGTCCTGTCAAGTCTTCGAATTGCATACTCAGCATCTCGTTCGTCGTCCATATAGACAAAAGCAAATCCTATTTAAACCAATATAAATGGAACCAATCCTATTAATACCACCGAGTGAAGTAACCAAGGTCCATACACCAAAGTTACCACAACATTCTTTTCTAACAAGTTTGTTAGGCATTCAGTCTAAAATGTGAGGAAATGTTGACGTCTCAAACACTAAAATATTACACGCATACAAAATCATCTGTTAGGAAATAACACAAAACCTGCCAGTGGGTGCGATATCATCATGGAATCTATGTTGGAACATGTCGGAAATTGAACATGGAGCAAAAGTCATGATGAATGAAAAAGCAATGGTGTCTGAGGGAAAGTAGGATTGCAGGACTAAGGCAGATCAAATTAATTCTTCTGGAAAAATACAATAAGTGATGCTTGGGCACATGCTACAAAAGAAATGCAGATAAGCAGATCCATCCAAGAAGAGCATGGACATTCCAAGTAATCCTGCGCCAAAGAAATTCTTGAGTACAGGGGTTTGCACTGCAATAAAAAAGTAACATGCTTCTCTGAATGGGAAAATAGCATACCCATCCAAATAACATTTTTAAGGAATAACATAGTGACCCTTTTGAATAACAGCTGAAATCTTTTGTGCGCAAACATCTCCTCTTTAGAACTTACTCCAAGCAAACATCCAGATAAAGAGCTCAAGCTTCTCAGTTCTCAGCATGAAGGAGATGTCATGTGCATGAATGCACAACAACCCCATCCTACAGTATTTCCATAACGACGTCTCACACATTTTCAATTTATAGAGAATGAGCATTTCCGTATATCAAGATTTTGAAAGGAAACGGAGAAAAAGGGCCAAGGGAGAAAACCAGACTTCATATTTTTTGCATGTATTTGCTGCTATACGAAAAGGTCAATGAGCCAAATTTTAAAATAATCAATTTTCATTTTTCAGGTTGTACACCACATTTCCTTTCTAGACATATCCAGGAACCCCAATATAACTCAACATAAGAGGAAACTCTTGTTCACAGAAGAAAATCAAGAAAGTTGTAGCTGTCACATTCGTGCTCAAGTATAGGTCCCGCTTTAATAACTCTGCTGCTGTAGGAGTAGGACTTGCTGCTAAGCCCCAAAATACATATTTTTATTTCTCTACCCGAAATCCCTATCGTCATACGGATAAATAGAAGGTGCTCAAACTCCAATCTGCACTAACGTCTAACTATAAAGACCATATCCCAGCAGGATGATTCAGTAATGAGTGAACCACTTCAGATTTCAGCACAATAAACATAACAAAACTTTTGAACATAATCTTGGAGCCAAAAGTACAACAGCTTGAACATAACAAATCATATAATATAGCTCTAATATCCACAACAGCTTGAAAATCTACAAGTCTTAAGCTTGGCCACCAAATTCACATCCAACAAACACAAAGGAAAAACCAAAGTAAACGAAACAAACACAGTACGATAAGTATGCTGCCAACAGCCAATGGAACTAGTACTCTTGATAAAAAATACTAACAAAGACCATTATGAAAAAGCAGCAAAAGTTTAATTATTTAATCAGAAACAATATTTACCAGACTTAATATCCACCCTCTCAACTTTCCCATATCGCTTGAAAAGCCGCTCAACATCTGACTGCCGCGCATCAAAATCCAAGTTGCCGCAAAATATTGGCCTCATTTCTTCAAGCTTCAAACTTTCTAACCCCTTCCAGATGCAATAATTAGACAGTTAGGTAAGTAAGTTGATTCACCGGCATTTATACAAACACTTGGTGAGCTCTCCAACTCCAAACAGCACCAAATTGTAACGCATACAAAAACAGAACTAGAATTCCACAAATAAGAAGTGTAAAACTGTGACTTCAGCAACTAATTATATGATTGCGATGCTTAATTATGCAGAAAATTGGGTACCATTAGTGAGGACAAGGATAATTATTGTTAAACCCTAGAGCAAAGGAGGAGAACCAAGCAAAAGTAAGATTCTGAAATGGTAAAACCCTAGATCTGCTGAAGACATTGAAGGGAAAGTATCAGAGCTTCGTTTTCGTACCTTTGAGTTGTTGGCGATGGAGAGAGGTCTGAGAAACCCTAGCCCTAGAAATAATTGGGAAAGGGGTCCGCGGAATCGATTTGTATTTTCTGACAGTTTTGCCTAAAAGAGAGGAAAAGTCAGTGGAGCGGCGACGTATGATATGAGTGCGACACAATTACTGGACCAATTTCTTACAAGCGCAAAAGGGGATTCAAAAATAAAATAAAAAAGTAATAAAATGGAAAACAACGAAGTTTTATTACATGCACCCCTGAAAGTGAAACCCGAGAAGAGTAAGTGAGGGTATGGCCAATTAATATCTGATGCTTAAGTTAATAATTTTGTGAAGTGTTTAGAGTTTAAGTTCGTAGTAAAAGTTTACCAGTAAATGGCCTGGATGGAATATTCATAGGGAGGTGACCAGACATTGTACGGTTCTGCCCTACCTTGACGACTTCCAATTGGCCAAGGTGAGTTCTCCGTAGGATGAATAAGGAAAGAATAATTCTAAGATATAAATTATAAGATAATATCATAGAATTATCAAGTAAGTATCCTTGATTGATTGTGATGAGAATTCTTTACTTGTTTGAGTTGATCTTCAATCAGGATATTAAAGATAGGATTTGGTGATTAATCCTATCTTTAATGTCTTTGACTTTTCCATACCATGGGTAGGAGAGCTTGATGTAGTCGTAGTAACTACTCAAGCCTCCAGGGATGTTGAGCTGTGTGTACCAATATTTGTGTGCTCTGCCTATTTAATAAGGGCAATCTTGTCTTCTTCGAAAAAAGTTCATGTGTCGTCTTTTGGATTTTTGAGATTAACTTTTGTTCCACAAATGCCCTCACACTTGCTGAATTACACACAAAAAAAGGCAGTAGACGTAGAAATCCCAAGCTCAGTAGGCAAGCAGAAAGTTGTTTCTTTTGATGCAGATTCTCCAAATTGACTTGGAGTTTAAGTCTTCTAGAAAAGGGAAACCAATTACCTCTATAACTTATTTAAGCCTACTTAAGTAGGGGTTAAATAAATTTAGAGAGCAATTTTTATCCTAACAAGAAAGAGAGAAAAGGCTAAAGGAAATTGTACTCATTTAGGTTTCTTCTTTGCTTGCTTGCCCTTGCGAAGAGTCGATTGTCATTGTGTATTTTGCTCCGCACCACACCAAGGTAAGAAAATTTGAAAAAATCTTTTTTTTTTTTTTTTTTTTAGTGGATCGCGGGCCAACCGTCATGGAGGGTAGCAAGGCTACTGCTGGTGGTGCGCATGATAATTGGCTAGGGCCATGAGCTGTATGGCAAGGAGCATGACGTGAACTAGTGTTAAGGCGCTTAGATAAGGGGAGGAAAGCCAACGCGAGCTGGGCCTTCACCTGATATGGGTTGCATGCCATAAATTCGTGAAGAGAGGAAATGACAGACCGGTGTAGGTCGAGTTTTCTAGTGCATTGGGTTTGCGGGAGCAGTCTTGAAGGCGAGGCATGGGCTCGAGCCCGCATTGCTGAAAGAAATAAAAATAAATAAATAATTAAATTTAATTTAAAAAAAAAAAAAAAAAAAAAAAGAGGGGCCAATGTGAGTTGGGCTCCTAAGGACAGGGGGCATGGCGTATTGCCCTGTGGTGTTGGAAAGGAAAACGAGTCGCTGGGCCTTGTTGATCCGAGATGAGAGAGGAGGGGAAGCCAGCGTGGGCTGGGTTCCCTACTGCCTTGTGAAATCTTGTCCTCGAATTTCACTATTTAAAATTACGTATCTCATATTTCATATTCATATTTAGAGTTTCGACACTTTTATATTTACGACGTATAGTTTTTTTTTCGATAAGTAAAAGGATGAAATTGCCCCTATTGTATTAAACATAATTCTTCATAGACGTATTTGATCCTTTCATGATTTTTCAGATTTCTTTACATATTTGGATAGTACTCGTCAATATGAATTCGTGAGCGCAAATGGAATGTAATTTGGAATTGTAATGAAGAAGTTATAGATGAGCAAAGACAGGGGTGAAGTGGTCATTTGACCATTATCTGGAATGCTCCAGATTTACAAGAGCATTAATTTGATATGCCACGTGTGTGGCTGTGATTGGAGAATGAAGAGAGAAATGAGAGAAATGAGGGGGTGCTGCCGAATCAGGAGAGGGAAAATAAGGGAAAGGATGGAAGAAAGAATGAGGGGAACCGGCTGGATCTCCTTGACCCGGTTTCCCTCTACTACCCAGCCCAATTCCTGCAACAGATTTCCGACGCCATCTACGACATTTTACCAGCAATTCACAACGCGAGGCCACCTAAAAACAATCAGCATCAACCACTCTTTCATTTCCACTCAAACCCAACGAGATTTGGCCTCGAGTTCATGAAGAACACAATCGACGAATTTGTGGGTTATTCGGTGGCGATTGACTATTTCTGAAGCTTATGCCTTCCACCACCACCACTAAAGGTCCTCTTTAAACCTCAGGAATAGGCCTCAAACAAGGTTGAGGGCATTGGAGTTCGATTAGAAAACGAATCAATGAACACCTATTTATGGGTTTTTGACGGATCGAGAGTTTTTAGGTGTTTCCCGGGTGAATTGGACTTCGTCCCAGGTATGAAAGTTCTTCCCCTTGTTATGCTCTACATTTCTGTAAACTTTGGTAATTTTTGGAGTTAAGTGAAATTTTCCGGCGAGTCCGAGTGGCGCATGGTCCAAGGACCCACATGACCCTTATAGGCTAAATTTGATACTCTGATTCCATATGTGACATTCGATGGACGAAATTCCATCATTCGAACATTGTTTCGTTAGGATTCGCCACTTGATCATTATAGTTATCGACGATCTGACCGTTGGATCGTCACCAAACTTTAATGCGTTCTAGCATGCAATATTTAAGGACATTAGAAACTAACGGATCAGGAATCCAACTTACAAATCTTGATGAATTGAATTTTTAAGTTTGTAAAATTAATTGTTGATCGCCACCTAATTCTAGCAATTGACAAAGATCCGGCCGTTGGATCATTCCAAAATTTTAGGATATTGTTCTAAAAGATAAATTATACTCTTAGGAAGTTAGAGATCGAAAATTTGTGGGCGGATATTTTGGATTGAATTACGTCGAGGTTGTGGACCCAACTGTTAACTGAGAGTTGACTTTTAGTCAACATGTCTCGAATCGTTTTAAATATTAAAATTAATACTACTAGAGACTAAGTGAAGGCTAGTGGGTCTACATGGATTAGTGAGTGACTTTAAGATATGTGATATGATTATTACCTGATTTTGTATTTAGTATCCTTTGTGGATATCACTTGATTTTATAAATGTGATATTGAAATGTGATTATATATATATATATATATGTGTATTTAGTCATTGCTCTATGTTTATTAAATGTGATTTGACTTGTGTATTGATGATATTTGTGTGCTTGATTGATTTGTTTGATGAAATATGAGGGCTAGTAGTGGACCGTTAACCCATTGTCATGGAGTTTGTTGCTTTAAAGCTTGTTTCATATCTCATTTCATTGTTTCATTTCTCGTTTCGTTGACCCGTTCTATATTTAGTACTTGTGCTTTGTTTCATTTCATTGAGTTTTTGTAAATTGAGTAACTTGATTCATATTTTGTTTCTTCAAGCCATTGTTATGTTCCTTGGACTTCCGCTCGGTTCCGTTGAGTGATCTGAAACTAGGTTCCATTAAATGGCTCGGTTCCCTCTCTATCTGGATTCTGTTGAGTGATCCAGAATCCCTCGTACTCTGCGATTCTGTTAAGTGGTCCGAAATCGTATCATGCCTTAGATTTTGTTGAGTGTTCCTATATCCATTATACTCCGCGATTCTATTGAGTGGTCCGGAATCGTATCCACTCGAATTCTGAAATCCCTTCTATTCCGCGATTCCGTTGAGTGGTCCGGAATCGTATCCTGGTTTGGATTCCGTTGAGTTGTCACATCCCGGCCCGGGCTCCCACCACATCCCAGGCTCAACTCCACTGTAGCATAATATTGTCCGTTTTGGGCCCCGACCATGCCCTCACGGTTTTGGTTCTAGGAACTCACACAAGAACTTCCTAGTGGGTTACCCATCCTGGGATTGCTCTCACGTGAACTTGCTTAACTTCGGAATTCCTACAGAGCCCGAAACCAATAAGCTCCCAAAAAACCTCGTGCTAGGTAGAGATGGGAATATACATATAAGGCTTATAGGATCCAGAAGAAAAAGTTCGAAAGAGAGGGAGAGTTCCAGAAGATTGAGGACCAATATGTGGGTCCCACGTGGCACACAACCCCAAATACGACATGTGTTTTAAATGTCTAATTACCAAAATACCCTCGATGTTCAAAGGTTCGTAGAATCTTCGTTATAACTCCAAATTACATTTCGTTTGCACCACACATTTGTATCGATGACTACTATCCAAATGTGTAAAGAGAAGTTGAAAAATATATAGAGATCAAATACATCTTCGAAAATTCTATTTAGTTCATTAAGGGCATTTTCGTCCTTTTACTTATCGAAAAAACTATACACCATAAATATAAAAACGTTGAAACTACGAATACAAAATATGAAACACGTAATTTTAAATAGTGAAATCTGGGGATAGGATTCCACAATGAATACCTCTTTCAGACCTGATGAACACATGG